TTAATCAAAACATAAAATAAGTACATTAAAAATAAATGATCTAAGCATATTAATGAAAAGATTAGAGATTGTCAAATTGTACAAAAAGCAAGATTCAACTATATGCTATCTATAAGAAACCCACTTTACAATAATACAAATAGATTAAAAGCAAAAGGATGGAAAAAGATACAAAATGGAAACACTAATTAAAACAAAGCTGCAGTTATGTTAGTATTAAATAAAATAGACTTCAGGGAATATTTACAGGCATAGAGACATAATATAATAAAGAGACCATTTCACCAAGGCGATGTAATCCTAAATGTGTGTGCGCCTACTAACGGCTTCAAAATACATGAAGACGAATGGAAAGAAGAAATGGATAAGTGTACAGGTGCAGTTGGAGACTTTAAACCCTTTGCAGTGATCGATACTAGTACTGCAGAGAGCACCAAATAAGGATATCAAAGACCTGGACAACACTATGAACCAGCCCTTCTGATTGACTTTCAGAGAAAAATTCCACCCAGTGACAGAAGAGTACATGTTTTCAAGTCTGCTGGGAACATTTGCTGAGATAGCCCATATTTTGATCATAAAGCAAAACTCAAGATTGAAGAGAACTGAAAAGCAGTGTTCCCTGACCATTACAGAATTAACGACTAGTTAACAGGAAAATATCTGGAAAATCCTCAAATATTTGGAATTGAACAAACACTTTTAAATAACCTGTGGGTCAAGGAGGAATTCATAAAGGAAATTACAAAATATTTTGAATTGAATAAGAAAATTAAAACATCACAATTCATGGGTTGGAACAGAAGCAGTGCTTAGAAGGAAATTCACAGCGTCAAGTACAGTAGAACAGAGCGAGGCTCTGGAACCGGTGCGCTCCTGAGTGATCCAAGCTCCCACCTGAAGAGACGTGAAGAGTGAGGGCAAATGAAAGCCAAAGGCAGGGGGAGGGACTGGTAAGGATGACGTCAGTGACAGTGCAAACAGAAAACTAGAATCAGTCAAAACGCTGGTTCTCGGAATTTAATGAAATTGATACACCAGTAGCCAGACTGTCCAAGTAAAAAAGGGAGAAGACACAAATTACTAATATCAGAAAGGAAACAGGGGACATCACTATAAACCTTACATTAAAAGCATAATTAAGGAACAACTTTATGCCATAAATTTGATGGCTTTGGTGAAATGGATAAATTCCTTGAAAGACACAAGATACTGAAACTTACTCAAGAGGAAATAGGCCAACTACAATTATAGTTATTTAAGAAATTGTAGTCTAAAATGCTACATCCTTCAATGAAAAGTCCAGGACCAGATGAGTTCACTTCAGGAAGAAAAAATACCAATTCTACACAAACTCTTCCAGACAGCAGAAGAGGAAGGAATACTTTGTAACACATTTTATTTTACCCTGATTCTGAAACCACTATCTCTAATGAGCATAGATGGAGGAAAAAGAAAGAAAAGGCATAGAGGTTGGAAAGGAAGATGTAAAACAGCCTGTATTTGTAGATGACTCCATTGTCTATGTAGCAAATGCCAAAGAACTGTAAGAAAGCTGCTATAACTAATAAATGAGTCTAGCAAGGGCACAGGACACAATGTCCTTACACAAAAAGTCAGTTATACTTCTGATATATACTAACAATGAATATTTGTAAATAGAAAAAAACTTTTAAGTACCATTTATAGTAAGATCAAAAAACCTTACAAAATAAGTGTGATGTTTCTATGCTGGGGACTACAAACTGATGAAGTACCCAAAGATGTGAATAAACGGAGAACTCTAGCACATGGATAGGCTGGAGCACTCAGCATTGTTAGGTGGCCCGTTCTCCCCAGGTGACCTACAGCTTCAGTGCAATCTCAGTAAAAATTCTACCAGACTTTTTGCAGATATAAACAAGCTGATTCTAAAATTTATGTGGAAGAAGGGATTAGAATAGCTCCTCCAAAAAAAAACCTGAGAAAGATGAGAACAGTCATTGGAGGACCACACATTTCAAACGAACTGTGAGGTCAGAGTAATCCAAACAACCAGTGTAGGCAGATGGGTAGACGGAGCAGTGGGCAGAACAGAGTGTTCGGAACACACTCAGGTGTGTGTGGCCAGCGGATTTTTGACAACAGTGCAAAGGCTATTCATTCCAAATGGATCATAAACCTACATTTAAAAGCTAATACTGATTTTTGATACCTTTTAAAGTCATGTATTAACTACATACACACATAAAGGCAGGGATGTGTTCCTGGGTCACTTCTTCCCTGAACTTTGTACATGATTCTTACAGTAATGCCACACTGAAGTACCCATTACCACTTTATCATGATTTAATGTTGGGTAAGACTAGTTCACCTTCATTCTTGTTCTTTTTCACTCAAGAAGTCTGTGTGATCCAACTCAAGTCTTTTTCTTCACTAGTCCCCTGAAATTATTCTCATCGATGACCTAGTGACCAACCTATCTTTCCTAGACTTCTGTGAGGTGTTTGATATCACGATTACATTTTCCTTGAAATTCACCCAAAATGTGTACACAATATTTATATTAGTCATCTTGGGCTGCCATAACAAAATACCATGGGCTGAATGACTTCAATGACAGTTTATTTCTCACAGTTCTGGAGGCTGACGTCTGAGGTCAGGATGCCAGTGTGGGCAGGTTCTGGCGAGGGCCGTCTTCCTGTCCTGCAGACAGCCGTGTTCTTAGTGTCCTCATGTGGGGAGGAGATCTGGTGTGTTTCTATTGTAAAGGGCACCAGTTCTGTGGGATCAGGGCTCCACTCTTATTTACAACCTCACTTAATTTTAATCCCTCCTCAGAAGCCCAGTCTGCAGTAGTCACATGGGGTTGAGGGCTTCAGCATATGGGTACTGAGCACACAGTTCAGTCAATGGCAGTATTATTTTCAATATTTTTCATTATGTCCTAACTCTTTGCTATTTCATCCCACTAGATGATGAACTCCTTAAGGATGGGGTTGTATCTAATTTATTTTTGCATCTCTAGTACTTGATACATAATAGACACCCAATAAACATCTTAAACCAATGTCATAAGGCAATGGTACCACCATGCATCTATTTTCTCAGACCATCAATCTGTTCTTATGACCCTTCTCTTTTTTTAAAAAAAAAAAACATACAAGTAGATATTTTATATATTTTTGTCTTTTTTTTTCTTTTGGTACCATTAATATACAATTACATGAGCAACATTGTGGTTACTAGATTCTCCCCATTATCAAGTCCCCACCACATACCCCAGGACTCTTCCCTTTTATCCCTAATGTTCAACTATATACCAAGCACTGAGAAGACTTTTACCTTCTAAAGATCTCGAATCCATCTCCTTTTCTAGCTGTAGGGACGCATCTTGCCCTTCCTCGTCTTTCTGGCTGTTCTGATTGCCTCGTACTAGGGTTACTGTCTTCCAGTTTCCCCCATCTACACTTTACACCTAGACTGACCTTGCTCAAGGCTAGTCTGGTCGCATCGCCCATTTTTAGCATATCCCCAGAGCTTAAGGCTGATGCCTACAGATCTCAGCCTGGCAGTCCTTTGTGATCTGGCTCCTGCCTGCCTTATTATCCGCATCTTCCACAGCTTCCCAATGATATGTTCCTTACTCTCCAGCCCTACTGACTCTCAGGTTCCCTTTCCTGCCTTTACTTCTGTCCTTCCCTCTTGGAATGCTCTTTCCAACTTCTCTGATTTTTTAAAGATGCTTTGCTCAAGGATTCTCCGGCAGTGGGGCCTTTCAGACCTCTTCCAGATGGGATTAACTGCACCATCTTCAGTATTCCTGTGCAGTCTGTACAAATCTGATTGTATATTGTAATTGTAATCATATCTGTCACTCAAATCAGACTGCAACCTCTTGAAGGTCAGAAACCAAATAGGATTGATTTTGTATTCTCAAAATCTAGCACATAGTAGGTGCTCAATAAATGCTTGTCGAATGACTGGAATGAATGAATCTTAAAATTTAATGATAAGAGTGAATGTTTTATTAAATAGCTCTGTGTGCCAGGTGTTATGGGTGCAAGAGTGCAGGAGCATCATGGCACACAGGTTTCATTACTTGACATTCTTTAAGAAACCTGACAGCTTGAGATTGCTGTGCGAAGAGAGAATGTCCCCTTGTCTTTCTCCCCTGTATTAATGCATCCTCATTAACTCTCCCTTATTTTAAGCCCCTTCCTAGAACCACTCCTGTAGCTGCCAGTTTTATAGGGATCAGTGTCTAGAATGAGTTTAGAAAAAATATGTGGAGGTGGAATTGCAGGAGAAATTTTAATAAAAGTTTAATTATTGTTTTTTGGTCCTTATGATAAAAATTTCTGATTGGTCTTTTCTCCTGTTCTCTTAAAGTCAAAATCACAAGTACTCATTAATTAAATTTTTCCATGAGTACCTGTACAAAGGGTAGAGACAAGATGTGGATCAAGAAACCTGAGTTAAAAATCATGGGACCGGTACATATAGATCCTGTGTAGCTAAGGGATAAGGTAGGTCTTGTACCTTTTAGACTGGGTGCCTGAGGCCCCTTGGAATCGAGTTTCTAAGATTACTTCACTCCTGTAATTCTCATTCCTACTCATTTCCCTTTTAATGAATTGCATGGCATTCTCTACCACTGACCTCCAAAATTTAAATGTTGGCAATGTCTGCAGCTCCTGCCATGTGTCCATTCTCCCGGAGCTGAAATCTTGCAGGCTGCTTTGACTTCTGACTCTTAGCAACAATGTGTGTTAGAACTGTTGCTGCTCCTCTGCTAGAAATTCCTGGAGGGGATGAGAAATGATGGTTCTTGTAACGACATCCATGTCCAAGGCACCTCGTGTGTCCATGGGTACCCCAGGGACATGGTGCTTGGAAGGGGGTGAAAGCTGTGCTGAGGCCTCAGGCAGCTCAATTCTCCTGGGGCATTTTGAATAACTGGAAATGGGGGGTGGCTGGGAGCAAATGGGGTGTTCTGACCAAAGTCTCTCCGATTGCAGAGCTGCCTCACGCCCCAAGCTCTCCAGCTGTCAGCAGCGCCTGCACGAAAGTGCTCTATTTCACTGACCGGTCACTTACGCCCTTCATGGTCAATATACCAAAGAGGTGAGGTTCTGGGGTTGGTATGTCTCTCAACAAGGAGGGAGGGAGAGCCAGGAGTCCCAGCCTCCCCACCAGCTGAGAGGCTGTTGCAGAAGCAGTGTGGTGTGACGAGAACAGATTCTGGTTCCAGCTTCACCACTAGCTGGTGGCATTACAAGGGACAAGTCATGATCTGCTAGGTACAGACACAGAGGTAGTGCTTCCAATCTTGGTGTGCATATATGTTCCAAGTTAGGAAAAATATTTTTTTAAGTGCTCAAAATAGCTCCTGCCAACAGCCAAGGATTGCAGCCTGGTGCTCCAAGGCTACACTCACTGATCTTTATTCCTGTTCAGTAATCACAGCTAACCTGTCAGGAATTCATGTTAAAAGTTTTCCAACACTTGGCTAATATACTCCTTTCTAAGGCCAGTGGCTTTGAAATAAAATGTTTTAAAACTCTGGAACCTAATATGGAGAGAGTGATAGGATTTCCCTTTCCAAGAGAGTCTGCTTACTTGGGCTGGGTTAGAGGGGAGCTTTCTGAAGATAGTGATATTTGATTTAATTATTCCAGCCTAGAGAAATGGAATATTGTTTCAAAAAAAGGAAATCAAGAGAACCTAGACATTTTGATAGTTCAACAAATTTGATTTCAGAGACTTCGTCTTATTTCCGGAGGAAAGTGATCTGGCTGCTCCTGAAACAACACATCTATTTTAAATTTCATTCTCCTTCCCTGATATGTCTGGCCCCTAACCTCTGCTGTTTTAGAACTGTCTGGGCTCTCAGGAGTCACCCTGGAAAGGCTGTACTATTTCTGCCTGGAGAGTCTTTGGCACGGGCCTAGGTGTAAAGCTGACATCTACTCCAACTTACTGATGAACAGTCTGTTTTGGGAATCTCTCCTTTTGTGCAGGTTGGGGGAGGTGACACTGAAAGACTTTAAAGCAGCTATTGACCGGGAAGGGAGTCACCGGTATCACTTCAAAGCGTTGGATCCTGAGTTTGGCACTGTCAAAGAGGAGGTATGGAACCCATGGGCAGTCTGGGTGGTGGTACTGACCATTCTGAACCCCAAACCCACTTCCTCAAAGCCTGGAACCGAGAAGTACCCGAGTTCCCTGACCGGGGCAGAGGAGTCACCCAGGGATGCACACCAGCCTGGTTACAGGCAGACCACATTTCATTGCTCTTTGCAGATACTGCATTTTTTAACAAATTGTTCTGTGACAACACTGCATGGAGCAGGTTTACTGGTGCCATTTTTCCAACAGCATTTCCTCACTTTGTGTCTCTGTGTCACAATTTTGGTAATTCTCACAATATTTCAAACTTTCATTGTTATTACATTTGTTATGATATCTGTGACCAGTGATCTTTGATGTTACTACTATAATGGTTTTGGAGCACCACAAACCACACCCATTAAACACAGCGACTTAAATGATAAATACATGTGCTCGGACTGTTCCACTGACCAACTGTTTGTCCCCATCTTTCTCTTCCTCGGACCTCCCTATTCACTGAGATACAACAATATTGAAATTAGGGTAGTTAATAACCCTACAATGGCCTCTGACTGTTCAAGTGAAAGAGTCACTCTAAACCAAAAGCTAGAAATGATCAAGCTTAGTGAGGAAGGTGTGTTGAAACCTAAGCTAGGCTGAGAGCCTCTTATGCCAGTTAGTCAAGCTTTGGATAAAATGAAAGGTCGTATGGCCAGGACTCTCACCTGGCCCTGGTCGACTGGCTCACTACACACGTGTGGGCAATACGTTGCTACTGACTCTATATAAAGAGCTACCCAGTGGTGTGTGTGCAATGTGGTGGCAGGGCTGCAAGGCTGCAGCAGAGCAGAGCAGAGGCTGGAGTGGTGACAGCACTGAGGACAGAGGCCCAGAGGACGGCTGTTCAGGACGACTGTGCAGAGAGGCCCGGAGGATGGCTGTGTGGGCACAGAGGCCCATAGGTGGAGAGAGCTTGCTGCATACAGACTCTCTCTGAGTGAATGGGATTTTAGTGATTGACCTGCCATCGTGGAAATAAAGTTGGGTGTAACCCTTCCACTCTAAAGAAGCATTTTACTGTCATTTTCTTTGGTCACATTGAATCCATACTGAACTTGCCCAGGGCTGAAACGCATTGGCAAGACGCAAAGGAAAATGCTACTCCAGTGAACACATGAATGATAAAAGATGAAACAGCCTAATTGCTGATAAAGAGAAAGTTTTTGTGGTTTGGATAGACGATCAAACCAGCCACAACATTCCCTTAAGCCAAAGCCTCATCCAGAGCAAGGCCCCGACTCTCTTCAATTCTGTACATCTTAGAGAGAGGAAGAAGCTGCAGAAGAGAAGTCTGAAGCTAGCAGAGGTTGGTTCTGAAGTTTAAGGGAAGAGCCATTGCCATGACAGAAAAGTACAGGTGCAGCAGCAGGTGCTGATGGAGAAGCTGCAAGTCACCCAGATCTGGCTGAGATCATTCATGAAGGTGGCTACACTGAACAACAGATTTTCACAAAACAGCCTCATCTGGGACTTTCACAGCTAGAGAGGGGAGGTCAGTGCCTGGCTTCAAAGCTCCAAAGGCTGACCCTCTTGTTAGGGGCTGACACAGCTGGTGACTTCAAGTGGAAGCCTTCAAGTGCTCACTGACCATTCTGAAACTGCCAGAGCCCTTAAGAATGATGCTCCATCTACCGTGCCTGTGCTCTCCAAATGCAGCAACAAAGCCTGGGTGACAGCACAGCTGTTTACAACATGGTTTACTGAGTATTTTAAACCCACTGCTGAGATCTGCTGCTCAGAAAAAAAGACTCTTTTCAAAATATTATTGCTCATTGACAAAGCACCTGCTCACCCAAGAGCTCTGATGCGGATGGACAATGAGGTCAGTGTCGTTTTCATGCCTGCTAACACAACAGCCACTCTGCTGCCCATGGACAAAGAGTAATTTCAGCTTCCAAATACACTTTGTAAGGCTATAGGTGCCATAGATAGATTCCTCCGGTGGATGTGGACAAAGTAAACTGAAAACCTTCTGGAAAGGATTCACAGTTTAGGTGCTACTTAGAACATTTGTGATTCTGAGAAGAGGTCAAAATATGAACATTAACTGGAGTTTGGAAGAAAGTGATCCCAACCTTCATGGATGACTTTGAAGGGTTCCAGACGTCAGTGGAGGAAGTCATTGCAGATGTGGTGGAAACAGCAAGAGAGCTAGAATTAGAAGTGGAGCCTGAAGATGTGACTGAATTGGTTGCAATCCCATGATAAAACTTGGAACAATGAGGAGTTGCTGCTTACGTGTGAGCAAAGAAACGGGGTTCTTGAGATGGAATCTACTCCTGGCGAAGACTGTTGAAATGACGACAAAGGATTGAGAATTTTACACAAACTTAGTTAATAAAGCAGTGCAGGGTTTGTGCAGACTCCAGCTGTGAAAGGAGTTTTACTGTGGGTAAAATGCTATTAAACAGCATCACATGCTGCAGAAACATCGTTCATGAAAGGGAGAGTCAGTCGATGCAGCAAACCTCAGTTGTCTTATTTTAAGGACTTGCCGCGGCCACCCCGCCGTGCAGCGACCATCACCGTGGCGAACCAGCACCCACCCGGGCAAGGTCCTCCCCAGAAAAAGGATGACGACTCACTGAAAGCTCAGATGATGGTTAATATTTTTTAGCAGTAAAATATTTTTTAATTAAGGTATGCACATTGTTTGCTTAGAAATACTGCTGTTGCTCACTTAACAGACTATAGTACAGTGTAAACGTAACTTGTGTCTGCATTGGGAAACCAGAAAATTCATTTGCCTCGCTTTCCTGTGATATTCGCTGCATTGCCGTGGTCTGGAACTGAACCTGCAAATCTCTGTGGTGTGTCTGTACTCTAGACTGAGGTAATTGCCCAAGAAGTTGATAGCTTCTTTAGTAGTTCAAAAACTTAATAACTTTCACTAAACTTGGATAAATTTTTATTTTAAAAAGGGAGAAGTTTTATGAGGGAAAATAAAGGACTTAAACTTGAACAAAAGCTTGGCTTTGGTGTCCCTTCCCTATCTGTAGTCAAATCTTAGGAAATGTTCTGCTTTTAGAGAGCAAAAAAAAATAGGCATCAATATGCAGAGCTGTGTATTGCGGAAGTTCCTTGGATGATGAAAACGAGGAACTTCTGGGAAGTCACCTCTGCTTATTCTCAGCTCCTTGGCTGTTTTTTAGCTTATGCTTCTTTTAATCCATCTGCCAAAAACAGACATTTTCTGGAAGAGTTCTGGGTTATGATGTATCCCAAGTGCTTTCATTGTGGTTACTGGATGGAATACCCAGTATTTTATTTTGTAAAGACTTCCTCACTGAAATATTTTTTAAAAAAACCCTGTTCTAATAGTGACTTAGGAAATGAATGAACTACATGCAGACATGTTAAGACTGCTCTTCTTTCTAACCTTTCTTTACAATTCCTGGGACCAAAATTCTCCTGTTCCTCATTTTTTCTAGTGGTCATACCTCTTCTTTCTCCTCAAAGTCCAAAGGGCTCTACACTTAGTAATTTATTAATTCATACTAATTCAAATCCCTATAAACAAAGCAATGTTAGGCCCCTTTACTGTTTCACAGATGTGGAACTTACATAAAAAACTGGTATGACTCTATGGACAAAACCAAGGGGCACAGAAGACTAACTCAGGCTTCTCACCCACTTTCTTGCCCTGTATGTTTCTGGTCTTCTGTCAGCACCTGTTGTTTAGTGAGACTCCCCATCTTACTCTGTTATTTTTCACTGTAGCTTCTTTTCTTCCCCTAGGTTTTCCACGATGATGATGCCATCCCTGGATGGGAAGGAAAAATTGTAGCCTGGGTGGAAGAAGACCATGGAGAGAATTAATGCCGAGTATTACACCTGGGGCTTGTGGGACTTAATACTCCCTGGCTGCTTCACTCAGGAAAGAGGACAAACCAGAATACACTGAGAAGTCTCTAGTTCCAGCTGCCAAAACAGAAGCTTCTCCAGCTCTGACAGCCACAGGCCAGTCCTGTTTCCGTACCTGGCATTTGTGATACTTAAAATCTCTGTCCAAATGTAGACCATGGGTTCATCTGGAGTTGCTTGTCCATGGGAACATGGTGTTTTATTCTCCTCTGCAGACAACGAACCGAAGGCCTTAACCAATGGGGATGGATGACCCCACTCCTACAGAGGCATGGCTGCTATATCTGGAACCTGGAAATTGGATGCATCACGACAGTATTTGTTTAATTGGCCTCAACAGCTGCAGCGATCAGTCCCAGCATTTGCAATCACAGGCAAAGGTTCTGGCCGTGTGCTTCCTCGCAGCTGTTACAACCCAGGAATAACTCACGAGGCGGTCCCGAAGACGAAGGCTTGCTCCTCGGGAACCCTGGACTGCACATGGGTGGTGCTGAGTTGGTTGCTGGAGGACTGCCCGGGCTGTGCTAGAACCGTGACCACATAGGCCTCAGGCTGCCTTTTGTGTCTTAACTGGTCCTGCAGCTTGTCCTGTAGCCTATTGAGGGCGTATTTCATGTACTGCTCGTTCTCTCTGGGGACTCGTTCACTTTAGAGCCACCTTTTCTTCCTTCCAACTGATGAACTTTGTGTTTGAAAGATGTAAGGAGTGGAAGTCTCCTTATAAACCCAGGCGGGTGTGGAAAGGTGCTCCGACCCGTATCTTCTTGGCCGTCTTTTCCCCATGACTTTCTTTAGCTCATGGCGTCTCCACTGCTGTCACAAGGAGGCCATTAATTCCAGTATTTGTGACTTATGAGTACTGAGCATGGTCTGCCCTTCTTCATTTCAAGGCCAGAGCCATTTTCTGTTATACAACTAGTCTAGGCTGATTCTTTAGGGCACAATAGAAATCATGAGCATGGAATAAATGGCAGGGTTGATTCTGGGTGAAAAAACCTAGAATCCTTTCTCATGTGCAACATTGTCAAGTGTAGAAACTGGAAGAGTTAAACTTCCACAGATTACTTAATAATTTGGGTTTTCTCCTTCACTCACCAGGTACCATTAACCAAGCAGCAATTAATAAATCTTTGTATCTGTACATAGATACATATATATTCCCAAAAGCAGTCCGCCTGCGACCAATGCACACTGCCAAGCAGGAGTCAGATCAGTTCTGGGTTCCTGAGCTGTCTGTTTCTAGTTCATTTCCCCTTTTCAGTCATCTCAACAGACAACTTGCTGGAGCTCTGAAATTGACCTTTTGTTGTTTCTATAGATGTGTCTTTTTAACTAGTTCATATTTGGAGAATTATTTTGTACGCATTTGCTTTTTGTCTAAGAACCATGTCTATTTTTATAACGAGTAAGTTCTGTCCATCCTCACATTCCAGATCTGTGTCGGTTTTCTAGAGAACCCCGGAGCTTTTACACAGGCTCCTCTCTTCTTACCAGCCCTTGTCGTTTCAGAACAAGCTTTATTTTGTTACAAGTATTTTCATGACAACTAACTCCTGTTTCAGTTCTACCTGCCATGTTAGCTGTGGAGGTAGTTTTATGTGATCTACTTGCTCCTCTCACAACAGGAGCTCAAAACACCTGATGTCTTTCGTGCAAGTTTACCTGGTCTCCTACTGAAGAATGATTGCTCATCAGAAATTGCTGGGAAAGTTTTGGAAGCTGAGTCTAAAGCAAGAATAATTCATTATGAAAGCAAAGAGAAGAAGAAAAATATATGGTGTTTCCCCCTGACCCCACCCCCACCCCCCACCAGGAAGTCTGGAGAAAAAGTCCTCTGTCATGTTTCTCTGTTGCATGAATTTCAGTATTTTGCTATATTAAACAGCATGAGGTTCCTCAGGCCAAATTTTGTTATAGTATTTCCAGTACAGTTTATCTTGAATGTCTGCCTCTTAAATCAGTTTTTACTTATCAGTTTCTTACAGAAACCATTCTTACCATTATGTAGAATTTAACTTTCCAGGGAAAATTAAATCAGAGAAGATGTTCAAAGTCCTCTGCCGTAGTCTTTTCTCTCCATGTCCTTTGGAAAAGGGGCTGCGTGGTTTCTCCACAGGAAGCTGAAGTTGGGCTCAGGGGAGAAAAGGAGATACTCTCATGTGCCATGGGTAATAGGTAAGCACCCATTACAAGATGTCACCCCTATAGTTCTTGTGTAAATGTGATAATCCTTATTCCAGTTTCTGAAGACGAGGAGCCTTGTAAGGAAGTGTGCACGGGTACGTTCTGGCTGGAATAGTTCCAGTCTGACACGCGGAGCTGTGCTGCCATGCCTCAGACCTACCTGCTCACACTGCCCCTGATGGCCCTGGTGTGGGGTTGTCCATCCTGCTACTGCTCAAACACTGTCTTTGAGAAAACTAAGGAACTAAGATGTTTAGGGTCCCTAAAATAATCTCTGAACCCGGTCAGATTAAAAAAAAAAAAAAGATCCTCTCACAAAAACTAGTTTAGTATATAGCTCAATTCCTTTAAAAAGTCTCCATTTAAAAGCTGAAGACTCTACTCAGTCCCCTAAATTAGCTGGAATTGGAACTCCCTACAGTAAGTGCCTAAAGAAGTTGGGTTGAATTTCCTTGGTAATGGCCATCCTTCCTAGGGACCAATTTCTCAGCTGTTTTGGACCAGGATGGTTGTAAATTGGGGAAAATATCTTTATGCTCTACATCCAATCCAGGGGGACTCTAGTTACTTAGAGGTATTTGGGTCATAATTATAATTTCCATTTTCTTCATAAAATAAGCATTATTATTGCACACTTTATTGTCTGAATTTAAGAGTATAGCTTGCTCAATTACATATGTAAAGTTTTATTTTCTTAGAAACATGGATCTTTGCAACCATTGCTTTCAAGGTTGTTATTAAATGTATTCTCCTGTTTTACAGTGTTTTCATGAAGGCCATGTTATGCCAGAGGCTTCTGATTATCAAAGTGATAACCAGTTTTAATTGCCTGTATGTACCAGATCTGTGAATAAAATTTTTAAAAACTATGAAAAAAATGGGAGTTTGCAAACTAAATACCATTAATCATTTTGTGTTTATGGACTGAACTTGATCAATAAAACCATTCATACTTACTGTAAGTAAATTTCCTCAAGTGATCTCCTTGGAAACATGTTTACTCATTGCTTGGGGAGAGGAGATAAGGTTTATTTTCTTGCTACAGATATTTTACTGTTGGTGTTTCTAATGTAAGCACAAAATAGGGTGTTTCTATTAAAGAGAATTCATAGATTTAGCACTTCTTTTCAAATTATATATAAATGTGCAAACATGAACCCAAGAGTGTAAACTACGCCCCCTCTCTAATGCAAAAGCAAGAAACATTACCAAGGGATTTTCAGAAATATGTATTTAGAAGAACCAGGATTTCCAAATTTGAAAGCTGCCTTCCTGAAACTTACGTAGGCTTCATTTATCACTTCAATTTAAATGTTATAATCTTTAGCCCTGAGTGCTTTCACTTGATTTCCAATTACATATTTTCAATTATTAATTACACGCCATTTTGGGTTATTCCATCATTATGTTAAAATTAAATAGTAAAGAGCTTAACTCGGTCTTTTGTTACCAACCGATTCCTCTTCCAGCTGCCCATTTTACATCAGTAAATCACCATTCTACAAGTCTCAGCCCTCCTTTTCTTTAAATTCCTTAATCCCATCTGTTGAAGGTAGGACCGTTACAACAAACCCAAGCATTCCTAGCCTGTCTAGGGCACACTTACCACCCCGGACTGTCTGACCTGTGCCCTCCTATGACTCAGCTACACCCATCCGAAGTATATTCCAAACGCAAACTTGCTATGCACTGCAAAACGCACAACAAGGTTTAGGCAAGCCTACTTAAGAGCAAACTGAAGATCATCTCACAGTTAGTTAATTTAGGTCCAGTTACTGAATTCGGATGCGGTGGAAGTAGATATTTTAGCCAATTCAAAATGGTTCAAACATCTTTAAAATTCATAAAGTTACAGCGTGGGCCCTTTCACAGTTACAATTATTCTTTGGATTGCTACTCATAAGTATTGCTACAAAACTGTAACAGTAAGTGCTTAATATTAGTTCAAATGTGTCCTTACATTTCATCTTGTTTTTTATTTCGCAGTCGTACTGTCTGCATGGTTCTCTGTTAGGGAGCCATTCTACGTAATCTTTTCCTCTCGTTTGGCTAGTCACGTACTTCCAAGTCTTTTGCTGTTATGAAAATACTAAAAATGTTTTTACCTTGTTTTGAGTGCCTTAAGAATACTAGAATAGGATTTGGGGGAAAGACGTAAACCCTTTTTTCTCATTATTTATTACCGTATTGCCATTCCTAAAAACAATCACTGTTCGGTGCCCTCCAACGAGTGCCGCTCGGCAATCTCGTCAATACTGGGTTTTTAGACCTCCCGGCTGTTACAATTTTCCACATGTTTCATCACCAGCAAGGTCGAGCACGTTGGCAGGTGCCGGTTTCTCTACTTCTTGCGTCGCCCGGGTTCTCCGGCCGCGGCACTAGGGACTTGGGGACACAGGCAGCACGTGCTTCCCCCGCCCTCAGGCTCGCCCTCCGCTCCGAAACGGGCCGTTCCTGACGACGGGGCGGCAGCCCAACCGGCAAAGCGCGCCCGCGCCTGTAGCCTTTCCCTCACCGACTCCGAAGGCCCGCCCTGGCCTCCGCTGTTCGCCAGCCCCGGGCGGCCCCGTTCGGCGGCAGGGCCGTCGCCCCGGGGCCGCTCGCCGCAGAGCTGAGCCTCCACCTCGGCCGGCCGCCCGCCCGGCTCTGCGCGTCCCCCGCGCCCGGCCTCGGGCTCCCGCCGCTCAGGCCCCACCGCTTCCGGGCCGGGGGCGGGGCTCCGGGCGCGCTTTGCGACCGCGCGCGGCTGCGCGTCGTGGCTGACGGCGGCGCCGCCCGGCTCGCGGGGAGGTCACTCCGGAGACGGCGTCGGCGCCGGGCCGCGGGCTTCGGGGCGCGATGTGGCGCGTGTGTGCGCGGCGGGCGCAGCGTGCGGCTCCGGGGGCAGGATTCGGGGCCCGGCGGGCGGCCCCGCGGGAGGAGCCGGGAGCGCCGTGCGTGACCCCGCGGGCCGAGCCGGCCCCCGCGCGGTGCAGCAGCGCGACCCCCGGGGACGGCCCGCGCTGGGCGCTCTGCGGCCGCTGGGCCGCGCCGCGGACTCGGCCGCCGCTGCAGCTTCTGGGGGCGCCGGGCCGCCGCTGGTACAGCCTCCCCCCGCACCAGAAGGTGAGTCCCCGGAGCGCCCTTCGAGGGGCGCCGGTGTCCTTGAAGGCAGACTCGCCCTCGGGGCCTCCTCCAGGCGTCGTCAGTCACCCCCCGCCCCCAGCGCGTGTCGCTGTCCCTCCTCCCGTTCCTGGCTTCGCCGCAGCTCTTGAGGTGCCTCTGATCTGTTCACTGAATCGAGTAGGAAGACTTCCAGGCGTCGCTGCCACCCCGACCGCGGCTCCGTGGGCGGGGTGTGCGGGGCGGGAAGCCCGTCGTGGGAGAGCTGGGGGCGTGCGAGGGACCCCGTAACCTCTGCGTTAGCTTAAATCGAATCGAATTGAATAAAACATCAAGCCAGACTGAGAGCCAAGTAGCCCTTTTCAAATGTAGTGTTTCTCCTTTTCTTCTAGGTTCCATTGCCTTCTCTTTCCCCCACGATGCAGGCAGGGACCATAGCCCGTTGGGAAAAAAATGAAGGGGAAAAAATCAATGAGGGTGAACTAATTGCAGAGGTGAGTTGTTTTAAAATAGGGAAATGAATTAAAAAGGACCGGTTTAGCTAAACTGACGGCATTAATTTCGTGGGTGGGTGAATATCCTCTTTTGCTCAAGAAATTTAGGCTACTTTTACAGCTTGATATTAGAGAAGAACGGTTAGGTGAGTTGCCAGCAGCCAGCCTGACTGGGTTTCAGCTCATGTGTCTCCTTAGTGATGGCTTCTTTCAGGTCTGTGGCAGAGGCTTTATCCTCATGTGGCTGTTGAACCGTGTGGTTCTGGACACAAGCTAATAAGCTTCACACTGGCGGCACCTAAGCTCCTGCTCTTGTGTTAAAGGTTGAAACTGATAAAGCCACTGTTGGCTTTGAGAGTGTGGAGGAGTGTTACATGGCCAAGATACTCGTTGCTGAAGGCACCAGAGACGTCCCAGTTGGATCCATCATCTGTATCACAGTTGAAAAGTGAGTAGAATCCTAGTAATTTGTGGAGCCTAGGTGTTTAGTGGAGTATTTTCAACCAGAACTGTTAAATTAGGAGTAAAAGTCTTCCAAGACTACTTCTGTAGGACTCAAACCTGCTTCATAATCCTCTTACACATATGCATTCTTTTTCTTCTTTAGGCCTGAGGATATTGAGGCCTTTAAAAATTATACCCTGGAGTCCTCAATGGCACCTGCCCCTCCAGCAGCTCCAGCTTCAGCCCCTGCTGCCGCTGCTCTGCCGCCTGCACCATCTCAGGCTCCTGGTAGCTCATATCCCACTCACATGCAGGTGAGGGTTGGCCTCCAGGTGTTTGCGCCTAAAAAATGTCTTATTTATTCACTTTCTCAAGGATGGCATCACCTCCTGGAAACTGGCATTGAATGTGGCTAGCTCTTATTGTTCCAAAACAATAGAGATTTAAACATGAAAATTGGCAATCTTCATTTTTAGTTATCTCCAGGTGTGACCTTGGGAAGTTCTTTGACCTTTCATCTTTAACGTAGTAGACTGCATAGTGCTGGGCACTTCTTCAAGAACATTGTTAGATTCTAAGGATGACTTGTATCTACTCCCTGTATAAATAGAGTGTTTAGTAGGCCTACTGAGTGAAAGGACCCAGTTGGTGTTTCCCACTGACATGTGGCGGTCTGTTTTCTAAGAGAAGGTGAAGTAATCAGTCGTCTCTGTCAGCGAGAACGCGGGCAATGAGTGATCTGTGTAGAGAGTAGAGCTTTGTGAAAGCATCGCAGCAGAGTTGAAGGCATAAGTATAGTCACTCTTGATTCTGCTAACTAACAAGTTCCTAGGATCCTAAGTCAGTTTGTTAGATATTGGGGTTATCCCATGTTTATTTGTGTATTTCAATTATTGGGAATGGATACAAATCAGCTGTACTTTTTCTAAAGAATTAAGACTAGAACTTTTCCTTCACTTAGTTCATTTGTGGAAATTTCTGTGTAAGAATCATTTTCTTCTTTAGATATAATGTTTTATTCCGTGATCTGTTATTAACAATCACTTATGATGAAGTTTTGTCTGATGTTCAGGTCACAAATTTATTTCATCTGTTCAGTAAATTCTGTCTCACTACCTAAGACTTCATTTCTCTCCATTTTATATCTGTTGCTTTGTGTGCCAGTGTTAGGGTGTGTCTTAATTATCCTTCAAGATTCTGTATAGAGATTATTGGCACCACTAATTTTTGAGAAATAGATGAAGATGAAGTTCTGAACTAGAAAAACATTTAAAAACTTTTTTCTAGTTTGATTTCTAAGTTTTGTTTTACTTTTTCCCTGTCTTCTTGGAACAACACCAGTTGAAGTGGTTTTCTCTCAGCGTTACCCTGTTCTTAATTTAGATGCAAAAGACTAAGGAGACAGTGAACAAAATCCATAGTTACTGAATATGCACCCAAATTGAGTGGACTTGACATATAAACAGGAAAGCAGTTTTTCATTAAGGCCTATCTCATGTTTAGATTTTATTGAGGTGGTATAAGAACAGTTCCTAATATAAGTTTTTTATCTTGGAAAGGTATCTGAAAAGTTGAGAGAAATGCAGTTTCCTCTGAGGGAAAAGGTAGATGCTAATAGAGAGCATAGCAAAATTTTAATGCAATAGTCTGGACCAGGATCATTTTGTGAATATGAAAAATTCTAGCTTCCTCTGAGTGTTAAAAGATTCTAATGACAATTTTGTGTGTTGGTGTTTATTGAGGAATTAATTTGTGTAGAAAGTCTTACACACCTGCACTGCTTTTACCTGGGGCTGGTTCAGTATTGCTGATACTCTGCAACCTGAGGTTTGCAGGACGATTAACCTGTGGGCTCTGCTGAGGCACTGAGCTTTTGCTGTTCTAGGGGCACCAGGCAGATAGCAGTTTGGATTGTCACGTTACTGCCATTCCACAAAACTTTATAAGCTTGCCCAAGTGCCATTGCGCCCAAGGCTTCCTAGTATTAAGTAATATGTGTTTGTTTCTACAGGTGGTCCTTCCTGCCCTCTCTCCCACCATGACCATGGGCACAGTTCAGAGATGGGAGAAAAAAGTGGGTGAGAAGCTAAGTGAAGGAGACTTATTGGCAGAGATAGAAACTGACAAGGCCACTATAGGTGAGATTTCTTCCGCTCTTAGTGGTTGAGGCACTGAGGTTTCCAATGAGGGAAGAGGATTGACGTCCTATCCTATAATGAGTGAGTGATAATATAAAAAATTTTAATTCTTGGAATTCATTTCCTGGGACAGGATATTTCATAGCAGAAGTGTGCATATAGTCCAGTTTGCCAGTTCCACACACTGCACGCTAATGAATCAAGGATATGTCAACTTAGAGATTATTTTTGGGCTAGAGTTTGCTTCTTACCCTTATTGCATTACTGGGAAGCTGCATCAGACCTGCCATGACCTAAACTGGACAAGGGGAAAAAAGAGTAAATAGGAGAAAATAACTTCCAAGGCAGGAAAATACCAAAGAATGTAAGATGACTTTGGGGGAAGTGGAAACCAGGGTTTAGATTGTTTTCATAATTTGAGAGTGACTAGTAGAATGTATCCATACTTTTCCATATATTCCCTTTCTGGTTTGTTTTTATGTTCAGAACAAACCCCACATGTTTTCGATACTACTCACAGATATTTGTTAATAAAAACATTTCTTCCCTGTCAGGCCCCAGAGACGCAGTGGGAGGTTCTGGGCATCCCGTTCGGTGGCTGTTCGCAGACCCCATGGCTCCGTGATGTGCTTGGGACGAATGAGCAGGACCCTGCTGCCCCTGCTTCTGTCAGCACAGCTGCTTTTTATCTTTGTGCATATTGAGCTTCCCCCCGAAGATTTTATTAGAAGATAGGAGTCTGTTAAAAAGAGAGAAAGAAAAAATATTGGTAACAGTAGATCAGCTCTCCCTTTTAGCCTTGGTGGGGGGAATACGTTCTTGAGTCTGTTATCTTTACTTGTGATCCAAGTCTTTACACTGTGTTCTGGCCTTGGAGCCTTTCCTTTCTTTTAAAATATCTTCTTTTAGGCATTAATTTTCAACGAGGAAATAGAAGGGCTCGTCAAAGTGTTCAACAGGGAGGGGCCCATCACCACAGAGATGGACCCCCGTTTCCATGATCCAGAAGGCAGAGCTGTTCCTCTGCAGTGGCTTCTTCTTGTTTTACTTTGTAACACTTCGTGTTTGAGTTCCTTGTAAGAAAAGCAGCTGAATAAGATGTAAATTGTCAACATTGTAGGAACCCTAGCTAGTCCTGCTGTATTTCTTCACATTGAACTCTTTGCTGTAATACTGAGTATAACCTCTTTGAAAAGCTCCAAAGGTGCTTTGAGGGGTGCAACCCCACGTTACTGTCCAGCCTAGCAGCTCCTGTAATGTAACGCCCATGTGGTCTAATCTTTAGTGGTAACAGCTGATGCCACCTGGGAGTCTCGTGGGTCTTCATGGGGGCTGCCCTTGGAGTTTTTAGGAGAACATTGAGAACTGACCACTGTCTGTAATCACTCATAGTTTTATTTAACAGATATTTATTTTGTACCAGCTACTGTTTCTACATACTTAAAAATACCAGTTCATTTAATTTTCATGACATTCCTGTGAGGTAGGTACTATTATCCTCATTTTGTAAGTAGAGAAGCTAAGATGCAGCAACTAAATAGCTTGCAAAAGGTTGTATAGCACAGTTTAAACTGCTCTTTGAGATGAGTGGAATAGTGGCACCCTCTACATTCCATAATGGTTTTTCTTTCTATTTAAGGTTTTGAAGTACAGGAAGAAGGTTACCTGGCAAAAATCCTGATCCCAGAAGGCACGAGAGATGTCCCTCTAGGCACCCCACTCTGTATCATTGTAGAAAAGGAGGCAGATATTCCGGCATTTGCTGACTATCAGCCAACTGATGTAACGGATTTAAAACCCCAAGCGCCACCTCCAATCCCGGCCCCGGTAGGTGTGCTTCCAGAATTGAGGGGACACATCTTCGTCTCTAAATTAAAAGAGTAGATTAGGTGATGCTCTGCTTCTTTCCATCTCTGAGATTCTGTGAGTAAGGAAGGAGGTGATCAGTGGACATTTGCCAGACCAGGAGGGTGTGTGGTAGGGCACCATTCACCTAATAGTCAGTAATTCGAGCCTTTCGACCATTTCCTTTCCTGGTCTCTTGAGTCCTGGTAAGAACAAAGCTGAGGTTCTTTTTCTGCGTTAGGTGTAGATATGCATGTATTTGTTCCCCATTTTCTATAATTTACTATATAGTTTTTGTCGCTGTTAAACCTCTTGGTATTCACATATTATGGTAGGTCAAGTTTATATTTCTAATACATTGGAACTTGACATAACATAGGTTGTTTTGCACAGAATTTAGTGTCACTGTATATGATACTCTATACCTAGAACATGTACTTGTATGAACTCACGTTTCAGTGACACTAAAATGAGGCTTCTGAAGATGCTAGAATCGTAACTTTAGACTGGGTGCACATTTGTATCAGAGAAATCTTGGTTTCTGATTGCTGTACACGCATGGGGAACCAGGAGTCGCAGTGTTGGTTTATTTCTTAAGATACTTTCAACATGAAACCTTCCAGCATAATGTATTGTTTTGAATTAGAGTAAGTGAAAACAAAAACCATTTTGATGATGTAAGAGAATGAAAACAAAGAAGCGGCAAGGGATTAAAGTGAAGAAAGGCTGTAAAGATGTTATACGCTGTCAGCAGCGCTAAACCCCACGCCTCGTCGTGTTTCCACTGAGTAAGATCCACTGAGCCCGTTTTATCTTTGGCATAACGTCTTGTGATTGCTGTTCATATTTCTGTGTCACATTGTCTCAGCAGGAAAAGTGTGCATCCTGATCTTTGGAAAATGATGCCAGTTATTTAATTAAAATAGCTTTGGCTTAATGTAAACTCTTGATCTTTCAGACTAGTCTTTGCAGTGGTGAAATAACAATTTGTGACTTTTGTTCAAAAGGTCACCCCTGTTCCTGCACCTCCGCAGCCTGTAGCTCCTCCCCCTGCTGCTGCTCATCCAGCTGCTGCCGCCAGACCAAAGGGAAGGTTGTTCGTCAGCCCTCTTGCGAAGCGATTGGCAGCGGAGAAAGGGGTCGACCTTACACAAGTAAAAGGTGAGTCTGTCTCTGTGGAGCGGGTTGTAAAGCTAATAGTTAGTTCAGCTTCCTTCTTACGACCAGCAAGTACAACTATCCATAGTCATCCTACCTGGCACAGCGGGGAGAAGGCTGAGGAAGGGAAATGTCTCTCTTGCTGTGGCCGTAGACTGGGGAAGTTTCCTAGTCTGTCCGGAAATTACCTCTAATTTAGGCAGCTTTTTTCATTCTCTGTTTGTGAAATTGCTTAATTGTTGGTGAAAGTATAATGTGCTTGTTCAGCAAAGTTTGGTTTTAGGACTTGATTATGTCCTAAGAAATCTATTATTCTAGGCTCTAATGTAGCAACACCAAAACAAAATGTGACTACAAACAACATGAATTTGGGATAATTTAAAGTGACTTAGAATAGTGACATTCATATAAGATTGAATTAGCGCTTCTTGATGGCAAGGGAAAATGGCTCACTTATCTTTTTCTCCCCAGAGGGAAAGTGTCCTTAGTGACAAGAGCATGGGGTCTTGGATCGGACCATCTTGGGTTTGATCCTGAATTTATCATTTTCTGTGTAATATGCCCTTAGGTGAATTACTTAAATTTTATGTGTCTTTAGATAAATTACTTAAACCCATCTATCTTTCCATCTGTAAAACTGAGATAATAGTGTACATTAAAATAGGCAAAATGCTTAGAACAGTGTCTAGAATATATTAAGTACTCAATTTAGTTTTATTCATATTATTGTTGTTGTTATTATTTGCCTAGCATTTAAATAAATGTTTTTTTATCTAAAACTTAATGTAATTAAGATACTTATTTCAAAAAGGGAGGAAATTATCCTTCCTGGAACCCAATTTGATGGCTAGTAGTAAGTGCTAATCATTTAACTACCACACTTAATTTGCGCAACACTTTCTTTTTTTTTTTTTTTTGAGAGGGCATCTCTCATATTTATTGATCAAATAGTTGTTGACAACAATAAAATTCTGTATAGGGGAGTCAATGCTCAATGCACGATCATTAATCCACCCCAAGCCTAATTCTCATCAGTCTCCAATCTTCTGAAGCATAACGAACAAGTTCTTACATGGTAAACAAATTCTTACATAGTGAATAAGTTCTTACATGGTGGACAGTACAAGGGCAGTCATCACAGAAACTTTCGGTTTTGATCACACATTATGAACTATAAACAATCAGGTCAAATATGAATATTTGTTTGATTTTTATACTTGATTTATATGTGGATCCCACATTTCTCCCTTTATTATTATTATTATTTTTATTTTTAATAAAATGATG